TTATGTGATTTCCCAATTCTCAGTGCCTGGGATTTGAGGTCTAATTTACAAGGACTATGTTTATCTTCTTCAAAATGAATTTAGACCAAGAGGAAACCCCAAGTCTTATTTAGCCCATAGTCTGATTTGATTCACATAATGTTTTAATTAATTTATATATTTGCATTTTTTGCCCTCAAACTGGTTTACAACACTGCCTATGATTCAGAAGTATAGGCGTGTATCTTTGCAGTATCACAGGTTGTTTTAAAACAACTGTTGCCGATGTTTACATTTAAAAGGATTTTCAGCTTCTTATAGAGGAAAACAAGGGTCTAGCCACACTGAGCCCACACTTCTGTAAGGAAGGGGTCTTCAAAGTGTGGCCAGCAGCATTAGCATCACCTGGGAACTTGTTAGACGCAAAGACTCAAGCTCCATCCCAGATCTGCTCTGAACGGGTTCCGCAATGCTGTTTTAATGAGCTCCCGAGTGATTCTGATACATCCTGAAGTTTTGTAGGGACTACTCCAAGGTAACAATGGGTAAGAACAGCAACACAGTTGCAGTGGCAATGTGCTCCCTACTGTTGTGACAAGGCCCCCATGTCTCTGCTTCTCAGCCCTGCCATGCAGTTATCAACACACTGCCCAACGCTGTAGAGATGTGCGCTTACAAGCCCAAAGCTGACCTGAGCTGTCACTAAGAATTTGTGATTGTCCAAAAATATATGGAGAACTGACAAAACTCAACAAAAATAAAGTAAACAACCCCATCAAAAAATGGGCAGAAGAGCTAAAAAGACACTTCTCCAAAGAGGAAATGCAGATGGCCAACAGGCATATGAATAAACGTTCAACATCACTCCTAATAAGGGAGATGCAAATTAAAACCACAATGAGATACCACCTCACCCCAGTGAGAATGGCACATTTTCAAGCAACTAGCAACAACAAATGCTGGCAAGGATGTGGAGAAAAAGGAACTCTCCTGCACTGCTGGTAGGAATGCAAACTAGTACAACCACTATGGAAAACTGTCTGGAGGTTCCTCAAACTGCTTAACGTGGAGCTTCCCTATGACCCAGCAATCCCACTCCTAGGTATCTACCCAAAAGACATAAAAACACTGATTCAAAAAGTTACCTGCACCCCCATGTTTATTGCTGCTTTATTTACCATTGGAAAAACATGGAAGCAGCCCCAATGTCCAAAAGTAGATGACTAGATTAAAAAGATGTGGCACATATATACAATGGAATATTACTCAGCAGCAACCAAAAAAAAGAAACACAAGTCTTTTGGATGGAGCTGGAAAAGATCATGCTTAGTGAGATAAGCCAGAAAGAAAAAGAAAAATACAGAATGGTTTTGCTCGTAGCAGGAGTATGATGGACCAGACGAGAAAATAATAAGAATAATGAACAGCCATATACCAGAGACATTTTGTGGTGGTGGAGTTGGGAATGGGATCAAAAACGGGGGTAGGGAGGGAGGGAAGTGTATGGGACTATGGAGATGGCACATGGGTGACTTGGTGATGGGAAACCCACAGAGATTACAACTGAGATGAAAAAAAAATTGTACAAAATGATGTAAAAATAAACTATTACATATGTGTGTGTGTATGTGTGTGTATATATGTGT